GGAGGTGAGGAGAAGAAGAAGAAGAAGAAAGGGGAAGGCACCAAGGGACAGGGGTGCAGGAGAGACAAATCCCAGGGGGCCAAGTGCAGACAATGAGTAAAAGGGCAGGAGGGGAAGTGTCAGTGGGAGGGGGGACAGGGTGATGCGGGGAGAGGAGAGGGTAAAGGCACTGGAGGCTGGAGGGGGGAGGGAAAGGTGCTGGACCAAGGCTTGAAAGAAGGGGTGGGCATGAGGAAGGTAGGGATGGAGCAAGGCATCGGTGAAGACACAGGGGCAGGAGAGGAACGGGGGCAGAGGGTGGGTATCAGGGAAAAAGAGAGCAAAGGGGGCAGGTGCCAGGGGATTCTGCTGGTGAAGCAGAAGGGCAGACACCTGCAGGGGAGGGACCAGCACCAGAGGAGAGAGGCAGGGCAGGTATGTAGAGGGAGGTGTTAGGAGAGGGGATGAGGAGGGGTAGCTCACATGATCAGAGTGGGGCTACTGGAGGAGTGGGTACAGGGCGGAGAGAAGGGCTGGCAGAGGGGGGCAGGTCTCAGGAAGATTGAGGGCAGTGAGAAGGGCAGGAGTCAGGACAGCAGAGGGAGAGGGGTTGGGGGGCAGCAGGCACCAGCGAATAGGATTTTCCGTAATTTGTCAACCCCAGCTATATATATAATTTTCACAAACACACACACAATAAAAACCAGCACTATGATTAAAGATTGATTACGGTTGTTGAGAAGTAGATTTTATGCTTGGGCTGATACCTCAATTGGGGGTACTTTTGTTAGGAATAATTTAGAATGAGAATTCAGATACAGATTGAGACATTTTGAAAAGAAGGGTTCCCACAGTGGTGTCTCACCTGAACATTTTATTGTGTATGTTAAGTTCCCTTTTTAAATGTATACATAGGAATAAAAATATTGTTGTGTGTATATATATATTTATTATGGCTGTTATTCCTGCTATGGGAGCTCTACCTTTTGTGTTTCCTGATTTTTTTTTTTTGTTAATATTCAAATTTTCAACCAGAGTGCATTGGAACCCCCTTATTTCTGATTTCTTATTGCCAAAACAAAAAGGCCTTAATAGGAAGAAGATGATGGAAAACCAATTTTGGGAAGGTAGGTAGATAGGTAGAGCAAGTAGGCAAGATGAAACCACATAATGAATGGAGTAGTATTGGTCAGCAAACAAGGTAGGGAATGAGAAACTTGTAGGCTGGTCATGAGAAGCTGCAATTATAATACACTTTGAGTGGGTCAACTGGCATAGGAAGGTGCAGGTGATAGGATGAGAGCTCAGCAGGGGAAGGAACACTCCTTAGCTAGTTTTGTAAGATGAAATTGTTGCAGCATTTGAGTAGCAATGCACCCCTTTGTTTAAATGGCAACACCAACATGCTGCTAGAGTGAACCAAGACATTAAAATCTGGTTTTCACATTTTGTTATTTTTGAGTAACTACATTGAAACATCGGCAGTGTTTAAAGTTCCTGTTCTAGATTACTCACATCTTAATCTGAACAGAAACTCATTCTGTGTTTCTATGGGTTCATAAGCAGAATGCCAGTAGTTTTTATATCCGATCTTAGTAAAAATACAAACAATGTGAAGTTGCACAGAGAATTTGTCTTGCTTTCCATGTTTTTTTCTGACCAGTGTCTGAGAATTAAATCTGAGTTTTCCAGAGTTTTGTTGTCAGTATACTAGCAGATTGATAGAAAAATGTGTTCAGTGTTGTAATATTGGGTTTTTATAGGTTGTTGGGGCTTTTGAAGGAAAACATTTGCCCTGAAGAATAGGTTTTGATATAGGTTAACCATATGGACCTAATTCCTCAATGACATTTGTTTGAGAGCCCATGGAATCCTTTCCTCTACATTGGAAATTATGAGCTCCTTTTAGGAGGTCATTTTTTACTGAGCACAGGAAAGTAAAAGGCATTTAATATGTTTGAAGCCAAAGCAAATTTAATATTCAGAACACTTGAAAAATATAGTACACTACTTAGCACTAAATACCGGTAGTCTTTTAGGTGTTATGCTTTGTGTGCAATTTTCTGCATTAGAATAAAATGAAGAAAACAAATTTTTAGACTTATAACAGCAGTTGTGTGCTAAGCATCTCACTGATCTTGTCACAGTGACATAAAAGCTGATGGTTAAGAGTTATATTGGCTAACTTTTTTGCTTTGAAGGTTCCAAATCTATGCAAGATGGCTGGGTGGAGAATGATGGGCCAGTAACTGGAACACGTCATTCAAGCTGGGAAGAGGAGGAGGAAGGAGGAGTCTGGAATACAGCAGGCTCTCAAGGAAGCAGTTCCTCTCACAACTCAACAAACTGGGGGCAAGGAGGCAAGAAGTCCCAAATTAAGGTAAGAAACCTAAAGCTTGAATGATTCATAACTGCTGTGTACTCAGAAAGCAGGTATAACTAACATTTTTGGAGTGATTGCTGATGTCGATTCCAAGTAGGTGTGTGCTGACTTCATGCACAGTCATCAGGAGGTTTTTCCCCTAGTGGTATCCTGTGGGACAACTGTGGAGCCCCCTGGAGTGGTGCTCTTTGTGGTTTATATAGATCCCTATTGACCCGCTTTGTTCCTTCTTACCACCAGTGACAATCCTTTGAGCGTTCTTCTCTTGCTTCCCACTAGCAATTCCCCAGCTTTTGTTTAGCTACTCTCTTGTAAATGGTTTTATTAACATTGTTTTATTGGAGTGTTAGGGATTGATGGGTCTGGGAATGTGGTAGGGTGCAGGAACGGGCTGGGGGTGGGAGGGCTGAGTGGAGGGTAGGGTGCAGGAGCAAAGAGAGGGTGGAGGGACTGAGCAATGGGGGCCACTGACCTGGCACATGGTTCTGTGTCCCCCACAGCTCCCAGGTACTGCCCCCTGCTGCTCCTGTTGTCCTTGTTTATGGCCAGTCGAAGCAGCAGACGGAAAAGCCTCCAGGCAGAACTTTGCTGCTCTGCCGTTTTCCCAGCTGGGGGGAGGGAGAGTGACAGTGTGCATATCCGCTTCCTGCCCTTCACCAGGCAGAGCCCCATGGGTCTGATCTGGCCCTGCCTTGTCTGAATCTTCTCCATGAGGCTCAGGGCTCTTGCCCCCTTCTTCAGCAGGGAGCCAGTGTTGGCGCTCCAGCCCTGTGGGTGGGGGGAACGCCAGTATTGGCTCCCTGATGCTGGAGAGTAGAACCCCAAGCTTCAGGGGCCGGATCTAGGCAAGCCAGCCCCCAGGCCATAGGCTCCCCACTCCTGCCTTAAAGTGCTTGGGCGAAATACACCAAACATATAAATTCAAGATCTGCAGGAGTATGTGACTTTGCAGAAATAAGGAGAGAGATGTTAGGCTCAAACTCCTCTTCATGGAGTCAGCCCTGCACTCTCAACTGATACATCTTGGACTGACACTGAAATCAACTGTATTGGTGTACAATGCACCATCCTAAGTTTGGGATAGCATGCAGAACTGCCAACGGATCTGATGCCCAAGACTTCCTGGCACCTCCATTCTCCACCATCTAAGATTGATGTAGTGACCTCCCAGTACTGAATGCATTCTCCATTGCTTCATAAGAGACAGAAGCAGCCAGATAGAGGGTGGATGCCAGCAACCAAGGGTGATAAAACTGAGTGTGTCCTACACCAGGCCACTCCACAGTGCCTCATAAGCAACCAATACTCTATTCTGCCATCACATGAAAAGCTGTGGAGTCCAGTTCTGGTGGACTCCCCAACATGGTAGAGTGAGATAGGGGACTTGGATATGTCATCCATTTCTGCTATATCTGAGGCAGCAAGGGACCTTATTAAAATGACTGCCCTCACAGTCAGTATACAGGCCCTCGCAGGAACTACACCTGGCACAGACCACAGTGCAGACACCTTCCAGAGATAAACTGACCATGCTTTATGAATGATTCCTCTCTCCTTGACCAGTTATAAGAACATAAGAATGGCCATACTGGATCAGACCAACGGTCCATCCAGCCCAGTATTCTGCCTGCCTACAGTGGCCAATACCAGATGCCCCAGAGGGAGGGAACACAACAGGTAATCCCCACGTGATCCCTCCTCTGTCTCCCACCTCCAGAGAAACAGAGGCTAGGTCCTCCATTCCTACCCATCCTGGCTAATAGCCATTGATGGACCTAACCTCCATGAATCTATCTAGCTGTTTTTTGAACCCTGTTAAAAGTGCTAACCTTTACCATATCCTGGGACATCACTTCATCCTAGAACTGCTCTACCTGGCACTTCTTCTCCTGTGACTGTTCCCCTGACATCATTCTCCAGCACCGTCTAGAACTGTGCCTTCTTGGTCTCTGACTCTGTAGCTGGAGTCCTACATATCTAGACAGAGCCAGCACTGCTCACAACGCTCCCACTGGTAGCAACCACACCAGGCCCCGATGTTGTCTTGCAGTCCTGAGTGGCAAGCCCTGGTGCAGTGGTCTTTTAGGAAGCTCTGGGCTTGCCATCAAGCCCACAGCCCCATGGTTCATGTTGGTAGCCTTATACAGGGGACCCCCCACCATCTTCCTTGTTGGGGTGGGAACCCTCAAGAGAGTCAGTATACGATGCCCAGGTCGGTGTCCAGCCCAGCACAATGATTGGTACTATTTCTGGTGCCAAGCTTAGCATAGGCAGAAGTATTGACTGGTGCCATGACAATTTTGACACTGCCATCATCCATTAGGAAGACTACTTAGAAGATGGAAGGTCAGGAAGACCCGGGGTCCACAGGAGCATCTTCATCTTTCTACCCAGATGAAGAGGTCGCTGGCTTGTCCACTTCTTTCCCAGCCATGTATAACAGAGTCTGCTAAGAGCTACTAAGGGGAGGGTAGCACAAAATTAGGGCTTACAAGCAAAGGAGGTTGCATAAGAAGTAAATTTGATGATTGATATCCTTGCCCAAGAGGGGCCATATAGTTTGGCATTGCTGCTCATAAAATTGAGGCTTTGTATGGCTCTGTAGACTTTATTATCCCTTCCTTGGATCTGGGGGAGTGGTACGTCGACCTTAATTTGAAGGATGCATAATTTCATGTTTCCATCGTCCTGTCTCTCAGAAGATTTCTTTGGTTTGAGGTAAGGAAGATGCACTGTTAGTTTACAACCCTCCTCCTTGGCTTCTAAATAGCCCCTTGTGTTTACAAAATGCATGGCAATGGTGCCTGCCTTCCTTCAAAGAAAGCAAGTGCAGGACTTTAGCCAGTCATCCAGGTAAGGAATCAGGGTTCAGTCTCAGGCCCAAGTAGAGGGCCATGTGAGATTCGTGCGTGACAGGTTCCTTGGACTCAGTCTGGTCTTGAACTTGACAAAGTCAAATCCCCACTCAGAGGATAGTTTATTGGAGCCCAGCTAGGCACTATTCAAATCAGGGTTTTTCTTCCACAAGCTTTATTCCTCACCATGAGCACCATCATAAGGGACCTTATTGCCTTTCCTAACAGTCTGAAACTGTCTAAAGTTACTTGACCATATGCTAGTCTCCACATACATAGTGCAGCATGCCAGGACAGAAAGTGCCAGCAGTTCTGCTCCTTCCTGAATCATACCCAGGGATCACTAGCAGACACTTTCCTCATTCCTTGGAAGGCACACTTCCTGTCTGCATTTACACTGTTTCCACTTACCTACAAAGTCCTGCTCCAGATCGGTGGGGACAAGTAATCTTTAATTCTCATAGCTTGGACATGGCCCCATCTGCATTGGTTCACCATGCTAGTAGACCTTGTTGTTGCACACACCTATAGTTCTGCCTGTGTGTCCGCATTTAGTCACACAGGACCACGGTCGACTCGAGCACTCCAGTCCCCTTCCCTCACAGGATGAAAGCTCCATGGCTGAATCAGCTAGAACTAACATGTTTGGACTTAGTGAGAGGGGTGCTCCTAAGTTGCAGGAAACATTCCGTGTGCACCAAATACCTAGCCGAGTGGAGGAGATTTTCCATTTGGTGTCTCCAGAAGGTATCCATCTCTGTCATCCTGGTTTATTTACGCCATCTGAAGCAGCAGGGCCTAACATCAGTATCTGTAAAAGTTCACCTGGCAGCCATTTTAGCTTTCCACCACAGCTCAGCAGGCTGTTAACTTTTTGCTAATCCCATTATGGGATGTTTCCTACAAGGTCTGAACAGACTCTACCCTCATATAAAGCAACCGATCTCAATTTAGTACTGTTGAGGTTTATGGGGGCCCCCCCTTCAAGCCACTGGCAGCCTGCTCCCTCTTCAATCTTTTCTGGAAGGTGACTTTTATGGTTGCTGTCACTTTGGTCAGAAGGGTATCAGAACTTAAAGCCTTAAAATCTGAGGCCCCTTGTACTGTCTTTTATAAAGACAAAGCACAGCTTTGTCCACACCCAGTCTTTTTGCCCAAGGTGATTTTTGTCATTTCAAGCCAACCAGGACATTTTCTGACAGATGTTCTACCCAAAGCCACACATGACTAACCAAGAGCGGTCACTCCATTCCCTGGGACTTAAATGTGCACTTGTATTCTACACAGAATACACTAAACTGTTTAGTAAATAAACTCAGTTGTTTCTTGCCATCATGGACACGATGAAAGAGCTTCCTGTCTCCTCTCAGGGATATATTCTTGGACTATGGCATTCATCAGGACCTGCTATGACCTGGACAAGGTTCCTGCTCTTTCACTAACTACACATTCAAGAGCACAAG